TAAACTTTGACCTGTGGTTAGTAGTCTTCTTTCTCATTGTTGCACAAGGGATTAAAAAATCAGTGATTGTCTGGCCTTTTGCTCCCATTATACTCAGTACTTAGAACTTCAAGAAAGTCTTAGATTTTAATTCCTAAGTCTTAATTATGCATGTTTTATATTTTCTATCCTTTCTTCCAAGAATTTTTGCATTTAGACATCAGTCCCTGTAATCAGGCCAGAAACCTTTTTCAAATTTTTTCTTTAGTCCGACACCTCCTGTTGTTTTCCCAAAGCATAACTGGTTTGAAATGTGTGACATTCAAATGCAAGCAGATTTTACCTAGTTTCTAATTCCAGAATTATCCTACATTGTCATCTCAAGTTTTCAGGGGTCCTGAAGATGTGATGGTTCCTCTTTTTCTTTGGGTTAGGGACAAGTAGAAGAGCTGAAAAAACACTGGGACCATCTGCTTGAGAGAACTAATGACAAAGGACAGAAACTCGATGAGGCTAGTCGCCAACAGAGGTTCAATACAAGCATTCGAGACTTCGAGTTCTGGCTGTCAGAGGTAATTAGACCTGGACATGGTGGGAACATGAAACTTTAATAAATTCTTCTCACATAAGTGAAATTGTTTATGAACAACTTCCTTGACTCTATCTAGGAAAATTTGGGGACGAAGCTGCTAATTTGTTCTCCTAAAGACAGTTTTCATCTGGCAGCTTTATTGCTTGTTTCCTAATTCCTCAGGCAGAGGCACTACTGGCCATGAAAGATCAGGCCAGAGACTTGGTTTCAGCTGGAAATCTACTCAAGAAGCATCAGCTATTGGAAACAGAGATGTTGGCTCGAGAGGTAAGTGGTGATGGAATCCCATTTCTTTGAGCACAATGGGAAATTTTCCTCCCTCTCATTTTAGACTACCATTACTTTGTAAGATCAAACTCAAGGTTTTCAACTAGTGGTGATTTTTTTTTTCTTTTCTTTTAGAGGAAGAGTTTTGCTATAGGGTGTATGCACTCCCCAGAGAGACAAAGAGACAAAATGTGAGAAATCATCCCCTAAAGGGTATGGCCATACTGAAGTACCTTCTCCTCCAGTCTCCTCTCGGGATTTTGGGGGATTTGGGACATGCATGCACACACACCCAGTGTGACTTTCAAGCCACTGGGTGTAAGACATTTCTCATACTCCCTCTCTCTGTCTCTCTCTCTAGTGAGCACATGTACCCTATGGAAAAAAAAAAACTTAAAAAAAATATGTGCTGAGTGTTAATTTCATTTGAGGAATGTTATATTATCAGTATTATCTGGTACTAGTGATACACAGAGAAAGGGCAATAAGTCAGACTTCCTAAGTTCAAGAGTTCAGGACTTGATAGCATTTCCTATTAGTATAGTACCATATGGTTACAAATGATTGCTCTCCAAGACCTTATTTTGTAGTTGGGGAGAAAAAGCAAATACAGGCAAAAATACCCGAAGAAGGCAAGAGCAGGGCTAAGTGTACAGTTTTTGTTTTGATTTTCTGGATTCTGCATTCCTAAGGAGGTACAGAAGCTTTGTCAGGAGAAGATAAATTGATTATATTCTTAAAAATGGAATAATCATAATTATAACCATATAGAAAATCTGTATAAAACATTCCTGTTACTCCACCCTCAGTCTCTCTCCTGAAAAAAAAAAAAGACAAATAAACAAACAAAAAGGCAATCTGTCTCAAAGAATAGGAATCCTTTAAGTTACTACTATTGCTTTCAGTTGCCTTTGAGTTACCAGTATCATATCATATGGTTTGAGTAACATAGTTATGCAATCTGTGTGGCTCAATGACCTGGCCCTTATTCAGCACACATTGATGTGCATATGACATGTAATAGTGTATAACACCAACTTCAACATCTTCAAAAGCAATCTGTTTGATCCAGTATTTAAACCAGAACCAGAATAGTGGTTAAAGTCTAGGGTCTCTGTAATGTCTGTATACTTCTGTTCACTGAGCCCATTATGCTTCCTAGGATGCCCTTAAGGACCTGAATAAGTTGGCTGCAGATCTGCTCTCCAGTGGGACCTTCAATGTTGAACAGATTGTGGAGAAAAAGGAAAGTGTCAATGAGCGCTTCCTGAATGTTCAACACTTGGCAGGTGCACACCATGAGAAGCTGAAAGAGACCTATGCCTTGTTCCAGTTCTTCCAGGACCTAGATGATGAGGAATCCTGGATAGAGTATGTACCACTGACTTGTGATGCATGGTCAATCCAAGAGAATAGATAATTCACCAAATGTTCAAATTTACACTAAGGTGAAATATGTAATTGCTTCTTGAAGTCGATATTACTTCTTTTTAAGTTTTTTTAAGTTTTTCCCACAGGGTGTGTGCACTCACCAGAAAGAAACAGAGAAAGAGAGAGGTAAAGTGAGAAATCACTCCTGAGAGAGGTGACCACACTGCAATCCCTTCTCCTCCATTCTCCTCTTGGGATTTTTGGCATACACACACACACACACACACACACACACACACACACAGGTATGGCATTATTTTCACGCCTCCAGGTCCAGGACTCGAACTGGAGTTCGCCATGTGGGAATCCAGTGCTTTAATGACCAAACTATCAGCTAATCTCCTGATATCACATCTTTATCATCATGTATAGCTCTTCCTACAGTCAACATTGGTTGTATTTTTTTCCAAATTTCCTCACAAGATGTCTTGTAACAAGAGATCAGTATGTAGGGGGTGGGAAGCAGTTTACATACATGCTGGAAACAAAGTTAAGAAGCCACATATATTTATTTCAGATGGTTCATAAATAGTATACTTTTCACAAGGACAGCTCAGATTACTACTTGTATATCCAGCGTATTTTGTGTGACACTGAAATGGATAACAGAGAATGTATACAGTATCTGCCATGGTTTTATGATTAATTCTATTGTCATGTTGAGGAAATATGATTGCCAAAATATTGATAAATCAAATTATTTTGTCTGTATCCCATTTACCCTTTCTTATGTCTTCTACAAGTCTGTGCTGATTCTTTTATTTTCTCTAGTTCATTCTTTTATTTCAAGAGAGAGAGAGAGAGAGAGAAAAGGATAAGCAACAGGGTCTTATGCCACTATCCCTTCCCTGGCCCTTCAGTCAGCCAGTTTCATGGCCTTGCATGTGCCAAGAATGTACAGTTTGATCCAGGAACTGAACCCCAATCTTTCATATGGCTTCAATCATTGAAAAATTGCCCTACTGCTGCATCATCACAAGTCAACTGAGATCAACAGACTTTTTCTATGTATTTATTTTTCATACATTAAAATGCTATATATCATTTAGATTGTGAAGAGACTTTACCCAGCATTATATACACCACAGTCCAGTCCAGTTGAGACCACCATACACATCCTTGCCAATAAATAATAAACCTTATCTGTGTACCACAAGTGTCTTACCTTTCTCTTTCCCCTCTAATTTCCTATGC